GCCTCGAGTCACGAAACGCAAGGATTAAACCGAACAGCGGCCTACGTTAATGCGACTGTGCGAACGTTTCCTCTTAGAGTCCCTAGAACCCCTTTACGTCAAGTTCGTCGCTTCGTATCTCATGCCTCGTTGTTTAAGAACACGTACAACAAAACGTCAATCGTTTCATTTAAATTATTACGATTCTTTTTTTTTATTTTCCTTTTAAGAAATTTCTTTCATCTTTTAGATTCATATTTCCTATATAAATATTACTAGATCGTCTTATCTTTTTAGAAGAATTAAGTTTTCATAAGAATTAAGGTATATCCAAAAGTTTGACATACGTTAACAAGCTACTTCCTGCGAAATATTCTTGTGTATCCATATTCTACATATAAATATTCTAACTTGTAAATATTTAAACTCTATAAACGACAATAATTAATTAGTATATAGATTAAATGTTATCAAGAAACTGGTCAATTTCTTGGAAAATTCATTACTTACTTACATATCTGTATACATATAGTTCTAGAAAAACAAAATCATGACTATAATACGTCGAATTTATGCGTATTTCGTTTTAAACGAAATGGTGAATATGATATATCATGTACGCAAGGCGATGTTAAGGAAGGAGCGCTTATGTTAGACGAAAGGAGGAGTATACGGCGCAGGAAGAATATTTCATGTTTTACGGCGCCGGCGTCGTAGGGGCTTCACCGAGATAAAGAAAAAAACAGAGAGAGAGAGAGAGAGAGAGAGAGAGAGAGCGCAAGGGGGACAAAAAAGTGTCAGGCCGTCGGCTAAATCAGAGCGTGAGTGCATTAAACTCCGAATTACCACAAATAGAACCTTAACCGCACATGCCCATTATAATGGGTGCCCCCCCGCTGAAGATGTATTTACGTACTAAAACCGCCTTCGCGGCTCATGCTGAGTCGTCAGAATTAACATCTGGCCCAAAATCTTATAAGTCTTTACCCTCTCTCTCTCACTCTCTATCGTTTTCTCACTTTATTCTTCAGTTCATTGGACCCTCCTATTTTTCTGTTTTTTTTTTCTTTTCTCTTTTTTCTCTCTCTTTTATTTTTTCACTATTCCCAACTTCGTTTTATATTCGCAATGGGATTTCAACGACGTCGGATGATTCATAATGATTTCATTACGAATGAATAAGATGTCGTAGTTATGGTGGAATAATATTATTGATCTTTTTAAAGAACGACAGTTGTGGATTAAACTTTTATAATTTACGAAAGAGAGACAGAGAGGGATATTATATCTTTTTTTTTTTTCTTTCTAAAATTATTAATTATACATTCATAACGTAATCTCGAAACTATATATATAATATAAAAGAAGAAGAAGAAGCTCAAGAAAAAGATAAATCTATCTTCTCATAGAATTTCCAAGCGATAATCACCGATGAATGATGGATAAACGAGGGTATTTGACTCTTTTTCTCTTTTTCTTTGTCTATGAACAAAAAAAAGAAAAAAAAAGAAGGAGAGGGTGAGAGAGAGTTAGGAACGAGAAGAATGACAGTGTCTCCTCGATGGCGCGACGAGGCACGAAAATCATGCGAGTGCTTTTACACGCAAATTAGGTCTATTAGAGGCATCGTGCGTACAAAAACATTCGTGACGAAGCATCACGTTCGTCCTCGTCCTCGTCCACCCTCGACTCCAAGCGGAAAGGTCTCTCCCTTTCGTGTGCGCGCGCTCTTGCGCGCGTTCGCGTTACGCACGTGCGTGCTTCTTTATGAATTATTAGAATTAATGATACCACACGCATCGCCTCGCCCTCTATGGGGCCAAGCGTTTCGTCCAATTGTCCTTTCGACTACCAAACCCAATGAGAAAAATATTCCTAACATTAGCGTCAAATATAATAGAAAAAAAAAAAAAAAAAGAAAGGGCTTCTGTTCTTTCCCTCAAGACATTTTTTTTTTTTTTAAATAATTATTTCAGCACAAAAAGAAAATTATTGTCGTATATTAAAAATAAAATTTTTGTTAGTAAATCATTGGCAACGAATGAAAACTTAACAACGAAGATAATGAAAGAAAAAGACTCAATGAAACAAACTAGAAGTGAATTGGGAACTGAGAAACGATCCGAAAAGTGGGTAAATCGTCGAACGGGGTATGTTATCGTGCGGCGTATCGTCGGTCGAGGGGGTTGAATCGGATTAAAAGCAACTCGGGTTGGAAACGGGAAAGTCTCAACGGGCTTCGAATCGAAGGAAGGGAAAGAGCAATGAAAAAGAGAGAAGAAAAGAGATCGAGACAAAGTTTAGGTTGAATTTAAAATGAGTGAGGTGAGATGCGATGTCTTTGGTATTTCTTTCTTCTTATTTTTTTTGTATCTCTGCTCGACATATACACACATACACATATAAAAGAAAGCAAATAATCTTATATTTATAAGATCGATAGATACTATTAGAATAAAAAACCTGTATCTTAATTAAACGTTTCTAAACTTTGACTGTAACAATTAACTGAATGAAGAAAATTATCCAAAGTATTATTTGCAATTAAGAAAACACGCGCTATGATATTTTCACAAATAAGTGTACATAGATATAAAAAAATGAACTACTTACATTAACGGAAATGGATTCATTAAGTCTCGAGTTTCTAACGAAGAGAATAGTGTAGGAAAAGGCATAGGATAGAAAGTTCGTTGATTTCTTACATACTAATTCCGGAGCTGCAACCCCAACGATATCGCAGTCGACCTCTTCCTTTGGAATTTTCCGCCTCTGCCACCGCACCATCCCTCTCACCACTAAACCGTATAACCTGGAGCTTCGTTTCTCTTCTCTTTTCCTCCCTAACTCTCTCTATCTCTCTTACACTATCGTTCTTGCTCTCTGTTTACCCCGATGGATAGAATTTCGTTCTCTTTTCTTCGCCCACCCTCTTTCAGCATCCTCTTTCTTCCTCTCTCTCTCTCTCTCTCTCTTTCTCTTTCCCTCGAGTCTCCCTTTTCACCGACACTCCATGGTCCCGAGGCGGCAAGCAAAGAACTCTCCTACCCTCCGGCTGCTGCTCGCACTGATTTTCCACCCTCTCACCAACACCACCTTCCATCTACCAAGCCCGACAACCCCCCTTTCCCAACTCACTCTCTCTCTCTCTCTCTCTATCTCTATCTCTCTATCTTTCTCTTTCTCTTTCTCTTTCTCTCTCTCTGAACCACCCCACACCGTCACTCCTAGTCACGCCGCCAACACGTGCTCCTGTTTACCTCTCCAGTCACATGGTCTCGCGACGTAAGCATACCAACGAAACGGTATTTTCTCGTTTGTTTCCGTCTACCTCGTAGGTAGGAAAAGAAAAATCGTAAACTTTGGAAAGTAAATCTTTTCGCTAACTTTGAGACTATATATTTCTTTTGCAGTTTATTTTTTTTTCTCTCTCCCTACAACGAGTTGCTTGCTAATTTCAATAAAAAGTTTTTTATACTTCTTTTTTTTACTTAGAAGGTTACATTTGTGTTACATAGAAAGTTACGAATATTAATAATCATTATTAATTAAATCGAATATCGTAATAATTTTGTTCTGAATAATCTAAAAAGCAATTATTGCAAATGTAAATGACTTAAAGAAAAAATGTTCAATTATTTTTATAACATAGTTACCTATTAATAAAAATGATTGAAAAGTATATTACATAAACAAAAAGAAAAAAATATGATTGACTAGATTATTATTAGTTGATATGATAAAGGTTATATACAAAATAAAAAAAAATAAAAAAATTTAATTGATACTATGTCTAATAACACGTATATTTTGTCTACAATCTAAGCCATATATATTGGCACGAGATTATTCTGTCTACTTTCCATATCGCCACACCTATCGCTCCAATCTCTACACTATCCATTGCTACTAAAACTCCTATCTCTCATAATCACGATGATCAATGTTTTCTCGGCTTATAGATAAAAAATTCATTAAAATACACGTTCCCCTCTTTTATTATCCTTTTCTTCTTTATTTTTTCCCCCCTTTTATCATATGTATATAATATATATGTACAAGTAAAGTACTTAGTAGACACATGCACAAATAAACATACACGTATACTATTCTTGCTCAGACAAGGTTTGCTTTATATTAGCATTTCCAGGTCACATTCGCGTGGACAAACGCAGTCATGCATAATTATCGTACTAATTATTAGAACGCACCTAAGTACCCTGAGGAAATTATCGGTGACTTGAACGTAGCGCAATCGGGAAGCCGGGGCAAACAACTCGCATGTGGAATCGACAAAACTGAGGTTTTGAGTTCCCGCTCTAACCAGCATTCCCGCGCTTGCTTATTCATTCACCCACTCGCTCGTTCATTCGCTCGTTCATTCGCTCGTTTGTTCGTTCGTTCGTTCGTTCGTTCGTTCGTTTGCTTTCTCGCTCGCTTACTTGACCAACAACGAGAGAGTAAGTTTCTTAATTACCGAGATTAACTTAATGGTATTGGGGCGACGATTATTGCCCGCGAGCCACGCCACTCTCTAGCTTTGGCCTTTCTAGCTAACGTTTTACCATGCCAACATTGAGAAAAGTTAAAGGAGAATAAAATTGTGGCTTTTCCTATAAGTCAGTTCTGATTTTTTTTTTCTTTTTCTAATTTTTACCAACTTAAACCTTCAATTAAACGTTTATATACAATTTTCTTTTTTTTTTTTGTGAGAAAAAGTATTGTCCCATTTATTTTATAAGAAATAGTTATTACAGAATTTTATTATAATATTTGATTTCAAGGAAAATATATAAAATTGATATTATTTATGTATATATATATATATAATATTTTTATAATCAGGGAACAAATTGACACTATAGATTAATGAGCATCACTGAGTTACGCTTAGGCGCGATAACATTCAAATTAGGGAATTATATTTCCCTTACATATATTATATCATTATCGATGATATATTTTGAATGACGATATAAATAAGATATATATTAATTTGATACATATTGTAAATTACTCACCTAAACTGAGCTGCGACCGCTCTACGTGGGACGTCGTCCTGACGTGAGTTGGACGAGTCTCCGTTATTTATCTCTCCCACGATGCGGGTAAAGACGATAGAAAAGGAATTTGATCCTTTCCTCTTATAATTCAGGTGTTATCTTTTCTTTATCCTCTTCTTCTTCTTCTTCTTATTTTTCTTCACGAGCCTTCGACGGCGTTAGTACGATCAATGGAATCCTCCTTCGCGAATCTCGCGGTCGGTGGTGGACCGACGTCGAGGAATAAACGATTCGGGAAAATCTTCAAGTCTCGTGACATCAGCCTGTTCTAACGGCACGTTTAATTAACCGGTATAATTAATTAGTGGAAGTTAGTCGATCTCACGTGACCAACGATATACGATAAGTCAGCGGTTTAATCAGCTTGCACTAGTCACTCCTGATTAAGTGAGATGGACGCGTTCGAAGAAATTCTTTTCCTCTTTAACGGTGTGTGGTTTTTCTTTGTAAACTCGTAAAACAAGAAAATAAAATAATAAATATAAAAAGACAGAACGATCGTCGCGAAACGTTAATGCTCTTTTAATTATTCTATTTGTACAACACAGCGTGCATGCTTGTACATAGCCACAGCCAGTGACAATGATTACTACTACTACTATGACGACGACAACAACAAAGACAACTTGCAACGACGATTTGAACGTTCTGAACGAAAACGTATAATTTTGTAGCAGAAAAACACTGACGTGTCCCGTCTCGTGAAGTCACGCGCTCGTCGTAATTGCGCACTGCCAACGATAATTAGGAGTTGCTCGTTAGACTTGTGAATGTGTGAGTAAGAAAGGGAAACAGTAAGAAATGAGGAAGATACTGACAGAGAGAGAAAGAATAAGAATCCTCAAGTTTATCGTCACTTCGCGATTTCACTTGCAATTTTGAGCGAAACACAATTATCTTTCTTGATGTAAGTAAACTTTATTCACACCTGTCAGTCCAAATTTAAGTTCTATTTTAAATGAATGTATAGGTGTAATCAATGCGACGAGAAGTCCAAAGTTGTAAAAGGCGTCTGAACACAAATCGATAGGTTTCACCAGTCCGCACAAAAATCACCAAGTCCTACTTGTAATCTCGGCAACTAATCCTTTCCTTTCTTTTTTCTTCTTTCTTTCTTTCTTTCTTTCTCTCACGTCTCCGAAGGTTCGTCCCACGTGCGTCTCTATAGGTTGAGAACGCGTCGGACGCGCACCACCTGGACGTCTCTGCTCTCCTGTTCGTTCTCTACTTCGCGCACTCGTTCTTTTCACTCCGTAATCGCGAATTATTTCAACCGGTTAAAACTTTTTTTCCGATCAGTTGCCAACAAATCGTTTTTTTCGATGATACAAACGATAAATGATAATAACACACACACAACAATAGAAATATCAGCGTGGAAAAATGAGACAACTATGTTTGATCGTTTGGTGTGTAGCACGTAGAAAAGAAAATTGTCTTCTTCTTCTTCTACTTTCCTCTTGGCTTATCCTTCTTTTCTCTTCTTCTTCCTTTAAAGTTGATCCTTTGATCCCTCGAACTCTCGAAGATAATCTTTAATTTCGTCAATAATTTTCTTCTTTTTCTTCTTCTTCTTCTTCTTCTTCAATGACTATACAGGGTCGTTTCTTTCTTCTTGACGTTGGATTCCTCTGAATCGATGATACGAAGTGGAAAATGAGCGGCGTGGTCGATCGTGCACGTTGCTCGGCGCGTGTATCTCCGTGCGAATACTCGGACCTCTACCCTCACGGCTCGCAGTCTGGCTGCGTAGTGGCCCCCCGAGTAGAGTCGAGGGAAGACAAGCCCGGCGCCGACACTCTCCCGCCTCAGCACTGGGGCAACACCAACTAACCTTGGTGGGGGCTACAGAGGCGGTCCAATGGGAGTGGTCTATGCGCGGAGGTTGGCCGCGAGTTACTCGCGAGGGCTCGTTGTTATGATTGTTATGAGTGTCCGAGCTGCCTCCCAGAGTCGTCAGCCTCAGCCAGAGGGTTCAGGGAGGATGCGGTGGAGGGTGGTACACGCAAAAGGGACCTACCTTCGTCCCTCTTCTTCCACCCTCCGATCTCTATCCACCTTTTCCTACATCCAGCCCTCTCTCGATCTCTGTAATATAACCACCACGAGCTCGAACGAGCTCGTAACCGTCATGCAAATCAGCTCAACGGGGCCAAAGAGTTCGCTGCTATAGCAAGGTATACCTTGCCACCAAGAAACGATACGCACACTGACATTATTTCACCTAAAATATACTTTACAACTTTGAGATTAACAATTTCATGATCTTCAATCATGGATTATGAGATTCCGTTGAATCCTCTTGTTTAGGTCAACTCTCTTCTTTGGATCATTTGAAAGAAAGATCAGGACCCGTTTTTCTTCCGTTTTTCCGAATGTTTCCTATTTTTCGACAGAAAAGAAAATTCTATTAGATCTTTTTATTTAGGTTGATCATCGTTTACTGATGATTTTTATGACAAAGATCAAGATTTTATTCATTCAGTCTGATGACAGGTGTAACTTGATGAATTTGTCTGTCTCCTACTGGATGCATCTACTTAGCGAGTTCGTCTGTAGCTTACTAGTTGTGTCTACTTGACCAGTTCGTTTGTCTACTACTGGATGTTTCTACTTTGCTGGAAGACTGTTCTTGCACTAAGTTTTCTAAAATGAAAATAACATTTTATCATTAGGAATTCATTCTTTGTAAGATTAAAAAGATTGCAATAGTATTGTTAATAGAACAGATGAAGAAGTATTTAAGATGACTCACGGACAACTGCAGTAACTGTTTATTTTCCTAATTTTAACAAATGATTCATGTTCCTACGTTTCCATAAATTACTTCTGATATCAGAACTATGTAAAAACTAGTTAATATGAATTAAGAGGAACGAACTATCGATCTTCAACTTCACATCCTAGGGAGACTTAGTACATGAAAACTTTACTACGTTCGCACTTTAACCCTTCGAACGATGAACCACCCTCGTCGATGGCAATGACACTGCACGCACCCTCGGCGTTTCAACATTGTCCCCTAAATTCTCCAACATCGACCTCGAACGTATTTCTCTGTGATTTTACCTCTTGACTCAGAATTTAGATCTAACAAAGATGGCCCCCCTTAAATGAAAACATTCATAAAACTGATATTACCATAACGAAAAATTATAATTAATTAATTAATAACTAAGTAATCAAATTTTTATTTCTCTATTTTAATCTCAAGTCTTAAGATAACGAAGCTAATCAAATCTTAAGATAATGTAATTAAAGATAAAAAAAGAATAACACGTGTATCCTTTCTTATATGATCTAAAAAGAAAAATGTTGCTATTAAAAATCAAGGCGAAAGAAAAGGAAAGTATACTTTTGGGATAAGGGCAAGAATCTTTGAAGGTAATAGGACATGGATCGAAGAAGAAGTTTTACAGAAAATATAGAAGGGAAATGAATGAATACTCTCGTCCTTTTTCCTCACGGGGACCACGTGCTTTTCACATATACCGAAGAGGTAGGAGGTACAGCCAGCTGGTGGTTGAAGTTGTAGGAGTCGGCAGGATGTGGGTCTCCGCTTACTCTCTCTCACTCTTTTACCTCTCTTTTCTCTCCCTTGCACACGCTCTTTCCGTTCATCCTGTATATTCTCTCTCTTTCTCTCTTTTTTCCTCTTTCTCTTTCTCTCCCTCTTCGTCTAACTCTCTTATCCTCCTCCCTTCCTCTTTCACTCGGCGTCTCTTTTCCCTTCACCGATGTCAGCGAGACTTTCCCTCTTTCACGGTCGACCCTCTATCCTTTTCTATCTCACTCTCTCACTCACTCTCTTTCTCCCTCGTACACTCTGGAAAGCTTTCTCACTCCAACTCCTACGTTTCTCTCGCTTCCTTCGTCTCTCTCTCTCTCCCTCTCTTCTTGTTCCTCTGGCGTAGCACGCCGAGAACTCACCCCCTAAAGCTCGGCAGGTGCTCCGTCTTTCTCCCCCGTCCCACCGGATCGATTAAAACTACAAAGTGTTGCCTCTCCATCCGTTGGTACGCTCATTCGTGGTCGACTACATTGCTCCGGCACTTTCTACCGGCACTGGGTTACCAACTCTTTTCCCACCACCTTTTACCTATCTCACCCTCAATCTCTCTTTCTCACTCTCTTTTTCTCTCTCTCTCATTCTTTTTCTTTTTCTTTTTCCTTTTCTTTTTCTTTTCCTTTTTCTTTTTCTTTTTCTATTTCTTTTTCTTTTTTCTCGCAAACCTTCCCGATGCCTTTTTTCATTCTTTTATCGGAGGATCTCCGTATTCATGGCAGCTCGCTTCGCTTCCTGATAATCCCCGCGTAAAGCTCCTACGCTTTCCCCCGACGGGATTCGTCTCGTACGCAAGAGACGTAGTTGACCCTCACCCCTCTATCGCTATCGTTCTTCCACCTTCTCGTTCGGGATTTTCTTGACACTTTATTGTCCCGTCCGATCAGTCGAGTAGAAAAGTAGAAACCTGTAGATTCTTTCGTTCAAAGTCACAATCGAATACCTTTCAATTTTCTTTCATTTAAAGTTAAATCGTCAAAATCCTATTTTATCCGACTACATATACATATATTTTTTTTTCTTTTTTCCTTTCGTTTTTATTTATTGATAATATTTAGAATCTCCAATAGATTAAAAAAAAAAAAAAAAAAAAAAAAAAAAAAAAAAAAAAAAACTAAAAAAACATTAAGAAAGTAAATAAATTAAACGCAATAAACTCTTGCCGTAGAAAGATTTATTTTTTCAAGACTACGACATAAGTTGATCAAGATGAAAGGTGTTGAAGAAAAGGATGTCTTTTTTAAGATTGCTGACTGTTAAGGTTAAACCTTAGGTCTCGGTGACTTAAAGGACGAGAAGGTCCCGCGGCCAAGTACGCGGCCTTCGCGTAGTATAACGCATAGTAGACGCGAAGATTAGTGGGGTCGGGTGAAAGGGCTGAAGGGCTCAGGCGCGATTATATCCCCGTCAGGATCTGTCTCCCTCTCGGCGGTGGGGCCCCGTTTCGCCGCTTTTAAAAGTCCCTTAGAACCACGGGACTAATAACAGAGGCTGCGCAAGAGTCGAGGCGTCTTTACGAGCTTCTCTTCTCAGAAGTATAAACCCGAAGTGGGGCCCGAGGTATCGTCTTTCTTCTCATTCCTTCGTCTTTCTCTTTTCTTTCTCTAAAATATCTTTCTTTCTTTCTCTTCTTTACTCTCTTACACGACCATGCCCCATCCTACTACGGTCAGACTTTTGCAAAAGGGTTTAATTAATGCTAGGCGATGAAGAAGAAGAAGGAAGAAAGGAAGGGCCCAACAAAGTTGCTCAAATGATCGCCACTCTTTTAAGTATCTTTTGGCTTCGGCTCGATGAAAGCTAAAGATACAAGAAAGATCATGAAGATACGCCAAATTGTAAGCGAGTACTCCAACATTTATATATGTAACATAAGTTATAAAGGATGACAATTTGATGACCGATAATAAATATATCATGTTTGTATTTTTATAGGGGAAAAAAATAATAGATTAAATTACACGATAATTTTTTCTTTTAACGAAGAAGTGAAACGAATAAAATGAAATGTCAAAAAGTTAACAGACTTTCTGATTCATTGATTAAACAATAATCAAAGTTGGAATGTTCTTATTGAGATATTAACTTTATAATGTTAAGTTGGTTAAGTTACTGATGAGAACCAGCAGGTCCAGAAAAGAAGAGAAAAAAATCAGACGATTCTTCGCGTGACCATAGTAATGATCGGGAAGCTCTCGAAAGAAGTCCTAAAGACTGATCTGAAAAGTATGTCCCACGTGATAGTTGCTTTATGCCGTGCGAAAGGAAGGAAAGCAGGTGTTCGGTGGAGATAATGTTCAAAGATGAGTACGGTCGCCGCGAAGGAAATGCGACGAACGAAATAATCTCAAGTGGAATCTCTTTGTTATTAGTTTCCCATTGATCGATAATTTCGCGCTACATTGTCGGATAATAATAAGTTGCGGAAACTTTTGTGGTAGTTGGTACCACCGCCGCGTGATCCTGGAAATTAACTTCGCGCTCGACCCCTTTTCTTCGTTTGTCGCTGAAAAATGAACAAAAAAACAAGAAAACAGAAACGGAACAATAAGTATTTAGAGTTTCAACCGATTCAGCGAGTAATTACGAAAGTGCGAGAATTATTGTGCAAATATCTCCATTAAACGTACTCAAATTTTTCTACAAAATTATCTGCAAATAATATTCCATGATAATTAAACATATTCGTAAAATAATATAGTTATCCCATTTACTCTTTTATCCTGTTCTTTAAATGCGTCACACCTATGAAATAATACGTCGTTGACACGCAGGATGTAAAATCCGAGTGGGCCATTGATCGAACTAAAATATCACATCCCATCACACGAGTTCGTGCTCGTATTACCCTCGTACACCCCTAAAGAACATATATGTACAGATACACACATAGAAAGACATAAATACACATACAGAAATATATGAGAAACACGTAGGTACATATATCCTTTGGACGAAAGGTAATATTCCTCCCGCATCCTCAGTTCTGTGCGAAATACGAAAACCAAACGACGATGACACTCACCGCGAACGATGATTTCCTGGCTGGTGAACGGCGTTCGAGTAATTTCACGATCCTTAGAAGCTTTTTCGTTTGTCGTCGTCTCTGTTGCCGCTGTCACCGCCGCCGCCGCCGCCGCCGCCGTTCTCATCGGATCGAGATCAATTTTAACCGCGATTCTCGACATCGATATCGATCGACTAAC